ATATATATATGAGCATGATGTAGTAGCTAGAGAAGCACTGCCATGCGGGATTCACACTAAATTATGAATCTATAGCTCGCGGGTTGCAACACACGCGGCCTGGCTGTTTGTTGTGCAGCCGAGTGTTGTGGCGCGCGTTACCAATTATTTTCCCCCTCAGACATCACAACTGTCAGCACCCTCATGTTGTGATCAGCAGGGAGAAAGAAGGACGCACGGACGTTTATTTAGTGGGTACCAGCATGCTACCGCGATTGCACAACATTACTGTTCAGCGTTTGCAGTCTCGTATATATATATATATATATATATGGGTGTGTGTAGGAGTTTTTGAGCATGTTTTTGAGTTTGTTGTGCAGGCACGAGTGAGTTGGCGCATTCGTAGTGTTATTAGCCAGCACGTTCTTACAGCCGGTGGGGCTGCAAACGCTATCTGTGTGTGTGCGCAGTTATAGCCACGTTTACTGTCTACAAGTCTAGATTCACTCCACTGTACAGAACACTTGGTTGGATTTTGTTAGCACTAGTATGGCAGTACTATAGTAATATAGTTATTCTGTATTAGTCCTAGTATGAATAGTATGAAACGGCAATAGAAGAGGAGACAGAGAAGGGAGAGGGAGGCAGACTGGGGATGGGGGATGGGAGGTAGGGGGATGGGAGGTAGGGCACTGGCAGAACAGGGAGGTAAAGGGGGAGGTGGAGGGGTCAGGAGATGTAGGAGAAGGCAGAGGTGGAGGGCGAGGTGGCACGGCGGTGGAGGCAAAGGAAGGTGTAGGGGACGGCGGGGGAGGGAGGTGGCAATATCAGTGGAGAGGAGGAAAGGTTTAGGAGAAGATGGAACTGCTGAGGGGAAAGCAATGGGAGGTGGTGGTGTCACAGTGGTGGAGAGGAGGTGTAGGGGAAGGTGGATGCGTAGGGAGGCGGAGGGGAGAGGGGAGATGTAGGGGAACCCAAAGAATGCTAGGAGAAGCTGGTGGTTGCCCGTAGGGTTATGGAAAGGTTGAGGGAGGCAAGCGGAGGGGGAGGTGGTGATGTCACGGTGGTGTAGGGGCAGGCGGAGGGGGAGGTGGTGATGTCACGGTGGTGTAGGGGAGAATGATCTAGAATGATGTGCTACCAGCCCAACCATCCATGCATGTGGCTCACCGTGAAGGTATTAATAAGCTAGCTAAGGAAGCTTGCTAGAATTATCTAGAATGATGTGCTACCAGCCCAACCATTCATGTATGTGGCTCACCGTGAAGGTATTAATAAGCTAGCTAAGGAAACTTACTAGAATGATCTAGAATAATGTGCTACCAACCCAACCATCCGTGCATGTGGCTCACCGAGATTGCGTGAAGGTGTTAATAAGCTGGCTATAAGTACGTGTAACGTAGTGAAGCCGCAAGAGCGTATGGGAGCGGCATCGAGCCTCCCAACGTGAACCTTCCCACCCGCTGGCCACGTAGGATGAGGATGTAGGATTCCCACGGCGGGTGTAGGATGAGGAGGAAGCTGTGTAGGATGAAGAGGAAGCTGTGTAGGATGAGGAGGAAGCTGTGTCTAGGGGCCTGCATTTCGCCACACGAGACAGTGAATCACGCCCTGAGCTTTCGGTAATTCGCTCCCTTCACACCTGATTAGAGGAGGTACCTAGATGAGATGAGAAGCTACCGGTGGTAATACGCGGCCTGGCGCGCGCGTGTAAGCGGATTGTAGCTTCGCGGGACCAGCCGGGAGGGGCAGGAGGCGGGGAAGAGGGAAAGCACGCGCGGCAGTGAGACGTGAGCCGTTTTTTGGCGATGAGTGTCTATATATATATCATCATCGTCGTTGTCGTCATCTAAGCATCATTATCAGCATCATCATCATCGTTGTCGTCGTCGTCATCCAGGTATCATCATCATTATAATCATCGTCGTCGTCGTCGTCGTCGTCGTCATTGTCATCGTCATCCAAGCATCATCATCGTCATCACCATCACCGTCGTCGTCGTCGTCATCATTATCATCATCATCATCATCATCATCATTATCATCATCATCATCATCATCATCATCATTATCATCAT